TAATTCATATATAATTTAAGAATCAAAAAACAGGTTTAATAAACATAATAAAAGTAATTATTTCATAATTTTTTTACATATTCATAAAAAAATAATTTATGTACTCAATAAATCTTACTCTAAATGAAAAAACTTTTAATAATAACTGTACATAAAAGAAATTGTGCTTATATTTTTTAGGGTTTTATTAAAAGGTTTAAGTAAAATAATTAATGGCTATTATTATTAAAAAATATTTACAAGAACAAATCATCATAAAAATTTTCAAGTATTAGACTTTTTTATATGTAAAATGTAATAATATGGCTGTAATCATTTTTTTTCACATTCAAAAATTTCTAATTTGCAATATTCATTGCATAATAACATTGAAATAATACTTATAAAAAATATAAATATTATATATATCAGATGTTAGATCTAAAATTACAGTAGATTATTGTATAATTAGAAAGAAAAAGGATTAACTATGCTATAAAATAAATGCTTTAGTATTACATTTTATAAGGGATTAAAATATATACATGTTCTATATTACATTAATATACATTGTTATATAAACTCATTTTAGTTGTTATTTTGTATTAAATCATTTTTTAATATTAATTATGAGATGAAAATTGAATTACTATAAATTCTCATTATGCATGTCAATGAAATAAAGATTTTATTTAGCTAAAAGTTTTATTTACGCAGCGAACACTAAATCTCATGAAACTAAATTTCCCACTAAGGATCCTATACTTTTACATATCTAAGACATTGGGTATAATATCATTAATGGACGTATGATAATGCTAATATATTAAGGACATTCATACAAATTATTTCATTTTTCTAATATAATTTGTAAAATAGAAAATCATATGTATGTATATATATAAATTATTTTAATGTACTAATTGTAATAGTATTTATGCAGGTACAATTGAAGTAATAATATACTAAAATTAAGCAATTATATATATGTAATTTAATAATCGTATTAATCATTATATGTCGTAGATAAAATACGATAAAGCATATGAAGTAAAAAGTTAAGCATTTTCAGTTTCGCATATCAAATATTTTTTATATAATAAGATATATTTATTGTACTCTAACAGTTGATATTCATAAACTACGCTCCCAATAAATTCTTATTAATAATAAAGTAAATATATTATAATAAATAAAAACAAAAAATTCCATCAGACAATTTCCATTTATTTATGAATAAAAAAATTTATCTATAATATATTATTTATATATATGAATTCCTTATTTTATGTTTGTATATATTTAATAATTCTTACTTATATATTCTTTTATTCCCATGTATTAATGAAAATGTAATTAATTTTAAAAATCAGTACAAAATAATCTATATAGTTATTCATATATAGGATTTTTAAATAACATAAATCAAAACAACCTTGTAATTTATACCGTTTCGATAAAAATATTAATATATAAAACATATCTGTAATTTTAACTATTTATAATATAGTATGGTGGTTTTAATATATATTAATAAAGTATACAATTATTATTCCTTTATCTAGTATGAAATATAAAATTTTAATTCATTTATAGTATGGCAATATATACAGTATATGAGAGGAAAAAATAAGTGTATAACTTCAATTAAAATTATTGCACACATAGTTCTGTTATGTATATACTACCATTATGATGATGAAGTATATTAATTATGTAAATGAATATTTTATATATTATGTAATAATATATATATATAAAAGTTTACCCTTATATTTAACTATATATTAAATTTTATAAATATATATTATATCTCTATTTAGCGCGTATTATCTAAATATATTTTTAACACACTCAATGCTGATAAAACTAATATTACAAGAAAAGAACACTTACAGGCTAAAAATATATTCCAAAAAAAATATAAACAAGAAGCTTTATAAGTTAATTTAAAACATTTTAATCCAAAATATTCTATAAATAATGGTTCCCATAAAATATACTCTGTATACAAAGATATGAAATTTCTGGATGAATGTGATGAAGAATTATTATTAGATCTACCTGAAAAATTAGATAAACATATAGCAAAAGATGAAATAACGAATAAAACATTAGAAAGAGTTCTATTTAATGATTACCCTATAATACATGTTATTCCATTAAGTAGAAGAATTGCTATTATATTGTATAAATTTACTGGGAAAAAAATACATAAGATTGCTGTTCATTCTATATATTATACTTTAGTTATTATTTTAACACATAAATGCAATTCAAATTTATGCCGCAAATATACAGAGTTGAATAATGTAGAATTTCTTACTATAGTGGTTATATGCTTATCACAAATATTATATAATATTGGAAAATTTGATTTTTTAAAAAAATATGAGACTCCTGAAGTGAGAGAAAAAGAATTAGCCAAGAAAAAAAAATGGGAAATTAAGAAAAAGAGAGAACAGAATATGTTAAAATATAAAGAAATAGAAAAACATGGAAAAAACGATTTGGACATCTAAATGAAGTACTATAAGGAAAGATATTATAATAGGAAAGGATTAAGAAAATTTGATCGTTACTGTGAAAAAAAATATTCGATAAAATGGAAAGGATAAATAATATTAATAATAAAAATGTAAGAAAAAGATTATGTAAGAAATATATACTTTATGATGTGTTATATTCATTATTTCAATTATTTTGTATTATTATTATTGTGTTAGACTTGATTAAAAGTACTGTGGTATATGAGACGCAAGAAATAGCATCTGCTGCCTATATCCCTGTTCGTATTTTTATAGAAGATCGTAGAAATTCCCAGGATACGAAGAAAGCATTTGGTAGTATTTTGATGATTTTAGATATACCAAAGGTATTTTTATATATTTATTTCACATTTTTATTATCATTATCATTTATAATTATGGCATCCATTATATACATAATGATAAAAGTTGTAAAATATGAACATTTAAAAGAAAGGAAAACTAAAATGAATTTTATAGAATATTGATCCTTCTGCAAAGAAGTATTAACTAAATTATAATGCCTAAAATAAATATATAGATATCATATTATTACTTCTATCAATAATTCTTAATGTAATGCATATTCCATATATGGATAACTATTAAATTAATCATCGTAATAGTATTTATTTTTTATGGTATGTCTCTATATAAATGTTATTTATTACCAATTATGCATGCAATATTTATATGTTTAAATTAATTACATATAAAATAACATATTATGCGTAAATTTGCTTCAAATTATGAAAATTATTTGCTTATTTTTATGTAACAGCTTAGGGTTTAGGTTTTAGGTTTTAAAATTTATGGAATACTTTAAAATATAGATTTTTTTATTTTTTGAAAGTTTTTTTATGAAATTATTATGTTTATTATATTTATATGATAATTATTGTTATTTATATTATTTATAATGTATTTTATTATTATATAATTCACCATATTTTTTTTACAAATAATTATATGCATGTTATATTCATTCATATAATATATTATAATTTATGTAACCAATTTTTCCAAAATATGTTATTTGATTATCACATATATAGTAATTATTTTATGGTAATTTTTTAACGTATATATATTACCTGATATTTTATGTATACTCAGTTTTATTATATGTACAGCTAAAATGTTTTAGTTTATTTATGACCTTTTAACTGAATATTATTCATCTATATTTTTTAATATTATTATTGATCGTAATTTATATTTGATATAAATAAAGTCTACGTTTAAATTAAATAAGTCATATATTTTTAAAATTACGTCATATATCATGTTATTAAACAATAATAAACATTTTTCTGAACGTTCCTAACTTGCATGTATGTTCTAATATGATAGATAAGTAGTTTTAAGTTTATCATAGTCTTTAATATATTTTGGAAATATAACACTCAAACTAAAGTAATAATAGAAATAATTAAGGTTGTAGAATTTAAAAAAAGTACCTTTAAAGGAAAATATAATGCTTGTTTATCAGAAATAATATATTTTAAAATTTTGTACATACTGTAATTTTAATAAAATATATATAAAAAGGTCTCTTTTCAAATTTATATTTGCAACGAATGCTTTATATACATATAAATTAACACCAATATATGCTTTATATTTCTTATTAAAAACTATTATGCATTAAAAAATTCAGAATATATAATATATTTCATACCATATATATTAATTATCTTTAATAGTCAATTATACAAAATTATCAAATAATTGAGTTTCTATTTAATTATGCTGAACTAATATATAGTTTTGTTACTATTATTTATAGTTAAGAATTTTATATTTTCTCGTAAATTTAAAACATAACAAAAAGTTTAATAATATTGAAATTGTATAAATATGTTAAAAAATAAACATTTCTAATTTAATATAATTATATACATAATACTATTATAATAAAAAAATGATTAGGTGTTATTTATAAAATAATTATATATTCAAAAAAAATATTTTTATTTTAGTATAGCCATTATGTGTTTATGGGTACAGGGCTTATGATTTACATGTTCATGATTCATTATTTAGTATATAGGATACTGTTATACAAAAAATGTTGAATACATAATATTTTGATTTATCATAATTTTCATAAATTATGCATTTGGAGGTTATATAAGATATACAAATTATTAATAATTTTATAGTATTTTATTTTAATATATTATTAAATTTAATTAAGAATTTAAAAAATATTCAGGTGAATTTAACCATTTCTTAATATTAAAAATATTAAGAAAAGATTATTTTATAGTTTGTGCACATAGCAAGAGAATAGGGGAATAATAATAATAATATTATCCTTAATTTTAGAATAAAATTAAATTGTTTATGTTAATGCTATAATTTACTTTATATGTATTCATCAGTGATATAGTAAGACAAATATCATATTGATATGGAATAAATAATATAATCATAAGAAGAACAACAATAAAAACAGAAGTATTTAAATAATAATGAGGGTAAGAAAATGTGAAATTAATTGTAATAGTAAATAACATACCACATCATTGTAAGGTTTAAATTTCCATATAAAAAACATAAATATAGCGATATTTAAAAGAAAAAATAATATAGTGTTATCTTCCATGTTATTACATTTCAATATTGCCATCTTATTAGTAAATATAATTATATATCAGATAATTCTATGTTTAACTTTTATAATAGTTATTAAATAATATTTATATAAAAAAATCATTTAAGTGAAAAATTTCGAATGATTACAATATTCCTACAGTTGTAAAATATATAAGAATATTTAAATATATTAATTTTATATAGTTATTTGTACATAAACTGTATAGTTTGAGCTTATTATTTAATTATTTAGGGAAAATATATGTTTTTATTCCACGGAAAGAAAATGATAGTATTATATTTTTTTTCTCGTATTATATTAAATAGAGATAATAGTCCTAAATAGTAATGATATGCATTATGTAATAATCAAAATTTTTATATATTAAATAATAATATAAAAACTATTATATATATTAATTTAAAATAATTATATTTTTATTATTATGTTTTTTTATTCTTTTTATTTATTAAATACCCATATTCCAAATTTTATACATTAATTCAGAAATGAGTGGAGACATAATTAAATACTAATCAACAATACATGATGTACGTAAGTATGACTTTACAAAAAAATATATGGAAAAATATATTAAATAAAAATTCTTGTTATGGAATGTTATATTAAACAAATTATTTTAATATACATGTTAAATATAAACAATAGAACAAGCAAAACATTTATATTTATTAATATATGTAATGTATAATTAGAGTGTATGATGAAAAATGATTGCTGAAATTTTGTTCATATGATTTTCCTATTACGTATATGTAATAATATTGCTCATACTTAATTATAGCTTAAAACAAAATAAATGTATACTTTCATTTCAATTATTATAATTGTTTATATATATATTGGATGATATTTATTGTAACATTATATAAATTATATATGTATTATTTTTTTTTAAGACAGAAAAAAATATTAAAATGGAATAAATATGTGCAATGAGAGGAACTGTAAATAACAAAATATATTTTTTAGTTTATGTCCTTAATCACGGAAATAAAATTAAATGAATTAATATTTCTAATATTATTTTAATAAATGTGTAAATATATGATATCGTCAGTACTGAAAAATAACATAAAATAAAAATATTTATATTATGGTATTAAATTTCAATTATACAAGGACAAAAGTATATTACACATAAATTAAAAGAAAAAATTAATTGTACATTTTCTGTAAAATATCTTATATATTTTGAATAGAATTTTCTTATCATTAAATATTTTTGTTAAATGTGTAAATATTAATGCTAAAAATAATTTAATCCTACATTATTTTATATGATTATTACGTCATCTTTATTTATATTTTTTAGCATATATAATGAGAATAATACGTTAAACTCATATCATTATAAATTTATAACATAGTATGCTTTTCTTCTAAACTCAAATAATTAATGTATTCTTCATATTATATATATGGAAGAGGTTTTTTATTTAATATAATATATATATGTGTATACACCTGTCTTATGCATTAAATAATAGATCAATTTTAAAGTTATTTACATTAATAAATTAAATATTTTATGCTTATATAATATACATTATGGATCTATTTGCACAGTTTAGATAGTAATATATTAATTTTAATTAGAGTTATTTAATAATGATCGGCATATAAATATTTATTATAGTTAATAAATATAAAAAAATGATAAAACTAAGAACGAATAAATCTTAATATACGCACATTATATATCATATAAAAATAATATACAAGGTTGCAAATAAATTATTATATATTATATACTATATAAGGAAAAAGTGGTGTAATTTTATTAATTTTATTTAATTTCATTTATTACGTGAATAATAAAAATATATATCTACGTTACTTTAAGAATAATATTTATTAAAAGAACAATAAAAGAATATTATTAACTATAAAAACAGATTATTTAAAAGACAAATAATTATATATATTTTTTATAAATATAAATACCTTGTTATTTTGACGTATAAATACAGTCAAATTAACAAATCATATACATCCACATTTTTAATTTTACTACAATTTAAAGCCCTCATGTATGTAAGCATGTTGAGTTGAATTATGAGTAATAAAATAATCGATATGAAAACATATGCTTCGCAAAAATCTGTGGAATGAAAAATAATTTAATGCGAAGATAATAAATATTTATGTATTATTAGCATATATAATATTTATTATATAATACATACTTTTAAATACATTTAGTTTCGGGATTAAAAACAAGGGATTATGTTATATAAATGTATAGAAAATGTATGTATATATAATTTTGATTATATATGTCTTCAAGTGAACGTATCTCAGAATGAATGATAAATATTTTACTTTAAAATATATTTCATACTTATGTCATTCACGATCCTTTATTTTTTATTTTTTTTACTCGATCTCATTCATGCATTAATATTTCAAGTATTATTGACCTTTTAAAATTTTGGGTATTGAAAATAATGGAAAAGGGCTTAATGCAATAATCATAGTGCTTTAATATATATTACATTTTTGTTTTTTTATTTTGAGAATTTATATGCAATTTATTATAGAGCTGTAAAAAATATTTATATAATATATCATTCATGTTTTAATCAAGGAATGCTTATATCCCCATAAAAAATATAAGAATTCTATAACTATGCAAGATGGAATATTCATGAAGATGAGTTTTCGGTAGATAAATATATATATAAAGATGTTAATACTATTATTATAGTTAATCATATAAATTATTTTATAAAATGTAGTATTTTTTATAATTTATCATATATACATCATATATTGGATATATTTATATAAAAATGCAATTTATATATACATATATAGTGTATATTTATTAAAAAAATATTTTTAATTATATTTTAATTTATT